TCTTTTGAAAATGATTTTCTGAAAGACACAGAAAGAAAGTCTATTAGTGACATTAAAAATTGCAGTAAGATTACCACTTGCATTACTTATGGAATCATAAAATCAATTGAAAGCAAATACAACTAGTGGTACAAGTCCTGTAAGAAATGTCTATATTCTGTATGTGAAGATTTTAAAAAATGGTATTGTGAGAATTGTCAGAAACTTTGGGATGATTATTATCCAAAGTAAGTATTCTTTTCTCTGCTTTTTTGCTTTTGTTATAAAATCATTGCGTTGCGCTTTGTTTCGTAGACTGCTATTTTTTGTGCGTGTCACAGATTTAGTGTTCAAGTGAGAGTTGTGGATAACACGAATTCTGTGTCTTTCATACTGTTTGATGGAGATTGTGTTGCTTTATTGGGAATGGGTGTTGTTGAAATGTGCGAACAATATTTCAAGTGGGTTTGATACTCATTCCTCGCATTTTCTCATCTATTATCAATATTTCTAATTTGTAATTCCCTTTGAGGAGTTTTCCTTTTTTTAAATTCTTTTGTAGAGTGCTGATTTAGATCATTATCCCGAAGAACTTAGCGTTCTTAATGAGAAATCTATGTTATTTAAGGTCAATGTGAAAAAAAAAACATTTAGACTCATTGAACGAGCCAAAATATCAAGTTTCAAAAGTTTGCAGCAGCAAATCTATTATCACGTCATTTCTTAAGTCTGATGTTGTTTTAATTTAAATTCGTTTTTTCATTATGTTTATTCTTTTCATATGTTTTTTATTTTACTTGATTTTTTAAAATAAAATTTGTACGTTTCAAAAAAATGCAGGATGAGACTATATTCAATAATACTTACGACAATGATGTTGTATCACAAGAACCGGGACGAGTTGCGGTATCTAAAAATTATTATCAGATTCAATCAATTAATTATTGTGTCCTGTATATTTCATACTATTTTAATTTATTACCGGGATGTTGAAAGTCAAACCTGTGAGGTGATGCTGATGTTTCTCTGTCTTTGTTGTCACCCTCTCTGAATCTGAATTTAATAATGGCATAAATGTAATTCTTCGATTGTCTATCCTTTGAAAAAGATTAAACTGGAGAAAGAGTTAAGTGCTTGCCCATTAATTCTTAGTTTGTTATGTACTTTATTGTTTTAAATTAGGGTTTTATTAGTATCATGTTACATAACCTAAGAAAATTTTCCTACACACACAATTAAGAGGTGGGGTCCACATGTTTTTTTTTTCTCTTTCATCATTCCACTTTCTCTCTCTTCTTTATTGTGAGGGTAGGAAAATTTTCTTATATCATGTTACATGATTCTCATAAAACCCTTTAAATTATAAACGTTATTTGTTTGAACACTGCGTCTAATATATGCAATAGCGTATACTAACACACGAGGATTAATTTTTTTAAAATAGGTTTGATGCTGAAGTTGGAAACACAAAGCTGGAGGAAGAAAATCTGAAACTTGATATGTTGTTTAATTTAGGCTTTTTTTTATATTGGTAGTTGCAAGCACATAAAAAGTTGCTATATTTCTCGATATATTGTTATGTTATATACGTCCTATTTTGAATGAAGTATTATACATTTCCTGTGCAAGTAAGATGTCCTTCCCTGTTAAATACATGATGATGTTTTTTAAACAGATCTTATAAAAAAACATAATCTATGGCCATGTAAGTTCAAAGTAGAGTACGGTTTTCTAAATAGGGGTCTATACAGGGTGGTAAGTTGTAATTTAACCATCAAAGTATAAAACACATATTCCAATGAAGTTAATATAAAGTTATACCATCAAACTCATATTATTCTTATCAATTTAAAAGTCTTAGTTTGCATCATTTTTTATTGTCTTCTTGATATGAGAGTAAATACATCAGTGTAAGAGAAAACTTTTAAACCCTATTGCTCAGTAATACAATAATATCAGACATGCTTAGAGTAGAGAAACCAACCATGAAAAAGAGTGGATTAGTGAAGAGAAAGACTACCACAGTGGAGGAGAGGCTGCGGCGCGACGGAGAGGGAAAAACCGAAGAGGTGGAACCGTGGGAGGAGAGGAGAAGGAACCACCACGGCAGAGTGGAGGAGAGGAGGAGGAACATGAAGACGTCTGTGATTTAGGTTAACAACGATTTTTTATTTTATTTTATTTTATAAAATGACGTTATTTCGTGTGAATTTTTTTTTAGAAAAAAAGAAATTGCAGTGACCCCTTTTGACCCAGGAGTCAGCGAAACCTGACCATGTTTCAGGGAGTTTTCGGGAGTCAAATGGATCAATGTACATGCAAGGTCTAACTGCTAACCCCAATCCTGAGAGAGAGGGGACCTAGAGTTGACCCGGATCGACATGAGGTAGGGATGAAGTTTCAAAACACTGCTTTAGAGATAATATTTTTTAATTATTTTGATATCTGTTACAATTTAAGACATATCAAAGCTAAACTCTTCAATTCTAGATAAACATACATAAAAGTACATAACCATAAAAAATAGAAAAGAAACAAAAGGTGTTACTATCGAAAAAGAGAAGCGGACCCTCCATTAGATAAACACACGTTAGAAAGGGAAGCATAGCCACAAAATCTAGAAGAGGAGGAAGAAAAAGAGTGTTCATCAATAATAACATTCCATGGTAAGGTTAAATGAATTCAGAATTCACACGTGTGAATAAGAAATTTCTTATTAGTTAGAAATGAATTAAATTATAATTATATAAGTAAAATAATTTATAAAAAAAATATAATATTGAGTTCATTTATTACTATGGATTGATACTTTACTGATAAATAATAATAAAAATTTACAGAGTATAAAAAAAAAGTCATTCCAAAAATTGTAAAACAAAACTTAAACAAGTGAGAAATAAACACAAACCTGGAAACTTACTTCGAAAAAAGTACCATGAGGGCGTTTGAATGGGTTTTTTTCTTCTAAAAAAAGTAAAATCCTTTTGAGCCATTTCAAAAAAAGTTAAGATAGTACCTTTTTTAAAAATTAGGATTCGTAGGTTCTTAAAAAAAAAAAAAGTTAAAAGTAAAATAATTTTTTGAACATTCAATTTTATCTCAACATCAGTCAAACTACTCCACTCCACTATCTCCACCACCATCATATATCCTTCTTGATAATTTTATACGAGTAAGATTATATTTACAAACTAAATTATTTATAAACTCTTATAATTAAATTTTAACGGTTGATTTCCATTAATTTTAACTGTTATAATTTATTGAGTATCACTTATTAATTCTTAATAAATTATAATTGTTAGATTGAAGAAAATCAATGGTTAAGATTTAATTATAAGAGTTTGGAAATGATTTAATTTGTAAATATGATACTTCCCATTTTATATAAAAAAATATTTATTATTATTAACTCCAAAGAATTTTTTTATTTATAAATACTTTTTATATATTTTATCCAAACGTAAAAAAAAATTTAACTTTAAAAATGTTGGAAATCGACAATCACACAAAATCGAGAAAACAGAAAAAGAGATAGGAGTAGAGAGATAGACACGATGATTTACCCTGGTTCACCCAATTAAGGCTACGTCCAACTTGTCTGTACTATATTCTCCTTACCGCCACTTGTTACAAGTCACTCGGTTTACAAGGAAAATATAAATAGAATTAGAAAACCCTAACAACAGCTATTCATGGGCCTAAGCCAAAACTGCTAAAAAAATTACAATAAAACAAAGGCCCACAAACCACAATAGTACCTAGCCTCTACGGGCCTGGGGACGCTGCCCCCCCGGACCCCGCCCGCTCACATGGGAGCGGGACCCCAATTGCCTTTCTGCTGACCCCGATAATTAGGGTCCTCATTAGTATGCGAAGTATGAGTCATACCCAACAAAAAAAACTAGGGAAGGGTATTGTAACAACTCATTAGTGTTATTACTAATTAATTTCACCGTTAGATCGATTATGTTGATCCAACGGTTATATTTATTTTTATCTTTGTATGGTTATGATTTCTCATATTTAATGTTTTGGGATATCATAATCATACAAAGACAGAAATAAATGTAAAGTATTAAATATGAAGAATCATAACCATACAAAGATGAAAATAAATATAACTGCTTGTACATAATGAGTCTAATGGTGAAATTGATTGGTAGTAATATTAGTAGTAACACTAGTTGATTATTAAAGTATCCTTCTCCAAAAAAGTATTCTAAGAAAAATAAGTTATAATTTTTTTTTTTTTTTTGAAAACCATCCAAAAACAGAAATGAGAAATGGATTGATTTACACTGTATCATAGAACGAAGTGAAGGGATGAGTTATTTTCTACGTTTTAGATTCACCTTTCCATTCCCCCCGGCCCCCGGGTAAATATAAAGATTTCTTAACATGCAAGCTTTAATTTCTCTCTTGGACCAAACGCAATAAAACTTAAAAAAAAAAGAATAAAAAACTCCAATAGAAGTACACTGAGAAAGAACTCAGCAGTACCACGTGGAACACGAAGACACGAGCTCGTTTAAGAATAGAAAAACTTTAATGGGACCACCGAATTTCTTGCTCTCTTTTATTGAATAGAAATTAGAATAAATATTTTTTTATCCTCACTAAATTTCACACTACCTGTTTTAATTCCTAATGAATTAAAAGGTTATTTGTGATCTCTAACAAATTTAAAATGAACTTATTTAATTTATAAATTCAAAAAAAAATCACATTAGTCCTTCAGAAGTATTAAAATGAGTCCACTTTAAATTTCTTAAAGACCACAAATTGTCTTTTTATTTACTAGTGACTACATCGTGAAATTTGATAACCACGAAAAGTATATTTACTTAAATTAGAATAAATTTTATCCTTCTGGTGTTTTTTTTTATTTCTCTGAGTTTTAAATTTTTTTCTACTTAGTAAAAGGGAACAACGAGGTGCTATTTAGTAAACTGTAAAAGTAAAAACCGAATTCGGTTGAATTGAAGTTTTTCTCGTTGAGTGAGACAGTGTTCCTGAATTATCGTCCTTTGTTTGGTTACATCTGTCTTTAGACTCTTTACCACCGCTCCTCAGTTCTCACTTGCTTCTCCTTTCTGCTTCATAACTAGGTTCTCTCTCTCTCTCTAACTCTTCATTTTCTATTTTTTGTTTACTTAGGTGTATATATAATCTTTGTTTGATTATTATGAACATTAATTTGGCAAATTGGGATGCTCCTCTATGAATTCTTAAACAATATGTTTCTGGGTTATTCTTAATTTCTCATTTGTGTAAGTTCGTATATTGGAATATAGTAGCATTAGAACTGATGTAGTGGATGATATTCTAACTTTCGAAACTACGAAACTTCATCTATCTTGGAATATCATTCACTGGAATCTAAAATATCTGCTGGATGGAGTTAGGGGTAGTTGCCCATACATTATTCATGTGATATACTTGGTTTATACTCTTGTCTCATGCAGAATAGGATGGACATCAGGGTTTTCAACATTGATCATCCTAGATTTTCTCTTAGTAGCAACTAGCAAGGTAATTTTTAGTGGGCCCAAAAGGAAATTTCACGTAGTAAAGAACCATTTCAACCTAAAAGCTTAAATCGTTAGGTTAAGGCCTTTTTAATGGGTTTCTATATGTTTCTAACATTCTAACATGTCCTCTCGCACAAGAGTCCATTGGGCTTGAAGGGTGGACAATACATTAGGTCTGTAATAAAATGAGGACGGTGAGGATCGAACTCATGATCCCAACCTAAAAGTTTAAACTGTTAAGCGAAGGCCTTTTTAATGGTTTTTATTATAGGAGTGTAAATAAGTTGGGTTGGGCTAGACTTTAGCTTAAATAGGTCAGACCTGTGTAAAATACTTCAGGTCTGGCCTGATTTGGTAGCCTGTGTAGGCCCAAATTATAATTCTGGTCTGACCTATATTTAAAAAACAAAAGTCTTGGCCTAGACCTATTAGCCTGTTTAAGCTTATTAGGCATTCAATAATTAAAAAAATAATTAAAATAATATTACTTTACTATTCAAAATCATTAAAATAATAATTTATTTTATTTAAAATAAAGGAGATGATATAAGCTGGTGTATAGGCTTATAGGCCGACATGTAAAAGAAAGCCTATGACCTGCTTTCTAAATAGACTTTTTTTGAGGCTTGAGCCTGTTCTATTTGACTATATGTAGTAGGTCGAGCATGACCTAATGTAGGCCGAGCCGTAGGCCCTGACCCATTTACACCCTTAGTTTTTATATTTCTCTAACCTACCCAATCAAAAAGAGAGTCTTGAAAAGAAATTTTCAAACAGTATGTTGCTAACATTCCTTTTTGGTAGAATTAATTCACCTAGGTACTGGCACAAGGTCTGAACCCAAGTAATCAAGGCTGAGCACACTTCCTGAACTGCTAGGCCATTTCCTGTAGATAATTATTGGCTGAGAATCGTTGGAAAGTGAATGACTACCCTATCCTGTCCTTGAAAGTGTTTTAAGTTTACTAAAAACACATAGTGTAGACATCAGGGGAAGCTCTTTTGAATGTTCTGAAGACCTGCAATAGGTCAGTAGCATTAATCCAGTCAGAGGAACAGTTTGAATGAAGGATTTGATCTTAGAGAGTGTCTTGCTTTCTGTTGAGATATATAAAACCATTAATGTAGCCTTAACCCAAAATCTTAAGCTGTTGGGTGAGGCTACATTAATGGTTTTATATATCTCAACACGCCCCCTCATACGAGAGCTCACTGGGCTTGAAGGGTGGACAATGCACAGGGCCCATCTACCTGTGCGAATAACGAAATTCCACTAGAAGGAAAGTGGGGGGCGGTGAGGATCGAACCCGGTATACCGAGGCTCTGATACCATGTAAAGAACCAATTCAACCCAAAAGCTTAAGCTGTTGGGTGAGGCTATATTAATGGTTTTATATATCTCAACACTTTCCAAGGATGAGTGACAAGAAGAGAAATTTGCAACTATATAGACAAAAAGAGTGCTAGGACAAGACCGTTCTACCCATTGCAGAAGAAAATTGAACAGATAAATGAAGCAAGAAAACACCAAAGATTAAAACTTATCCATCATCAAGATTCGAGGAGCATTGGAACCTCTGAATAGTAAAATATACCATTGAAGTTTGCTGCTTAGAAAAAAGACAATATAGACACCAAAAATCCGAGGAAGAAATATACTCAACCAATAGTTCTCCCCAAACTTTATGCAAGAATCATCACCTATCTTTAATTCAACCAAGTAATATAAAGAGTACACCCAAGGGTTGAATTTTAATAAGGTTTGAGCAATTTGCATCACTTCATGCTTATAACTCACCTATTTTGCTGGAGATTATACTTATTCTTTATTACCATATGTTAAAGTAAAGGCCTTGCTCTGTAATTGTTGGTTGGTGGCTATCTTGGATAATTAAATTGCCAATAGTGCATACCATGTATGTTAATTACAAAGGATCTTTATATTAATTCTGTTTGAGATCACGTATTAATGGCATATTATTTATGCAGGTTCAAACTATTAAGGGATTCATTTTATTCGATTTCAGGCCTACAGTTGTGTTATCGGGTGCAAAAAGCAAATCTGCAGACAGATTTCAATAATGATTCTTTCTGCTCTTTTAACTTCTGTTGCAATTAATCTTGGCCTCTGTCTTTTATTTTTCACCCTATACTCCATATTGAGAAAGCAGCCCAGTAATATCACTGTCTATGTACCACGCTTAGTTGCTGAAGGAAAAGTTAAAGAGGGTGGCCAATTTAACTTGGAACGGTTGTTACCTACTACTGGTTGGGTGAGAAAGGCATGGGCGCCTTCTGAGGAAGAACTTTTGTCAAATTCAGGCTTAGATGCTTTTGTCTTCATGCGCATATTTATCTTTAGGTGATCTAACATGCTTGATTGATTCAAAGTTGGAAGATGTATCATGTCATTTCTTATTAAACCCAAATCTGTTTTACCTAATTGAGATTCTTGGCGGTTTTGCTCAATTTGATAGATTTTCCTGCATTATGTGTATCCAGGATCAATATTAGACTGAAGTTTATATACTTTTACATATATGTAAATGTGCATATGTAGTTTCTGCATCAGAAGGGGACTTTTTATATTATATTATTATTGGTTTTACACTGTAATATAATCAATTCAATTATATTTATTCATTTTCTAAACTTGATTGACATCAAGTTTTTGCTTCTTGTATAATTGACTATCTAGCTTTGAGTGGATTTTAGTGTTTTCAATATGATATAACATATTTATAAGTAGCCACCAAATACTTAAAGTGACACTTAACCTTTAGCTTATTGCTGAGGCAATCATTTATCCATTAGAATTTCTATCTGTATTGCTGTAAAATATGTATCAATCTTTCTATTTTCTGTGACCTTGCTGTATTTTGTTGAAGGGCTCTTTTATTTGGCTCAACTGATCCTTTTCTCTCCTTTTATGGTGTTGTGCAGTTTAAAAGTATTTACTTTCGGTGGAATCATTGGTATGTTCGTTCTTCTTCCAATTAATTATACAGGGAGTCAGCTTAGTGATGATACGGATTTTCAAAACAAATCTTTGGACGTATTCAGTATTTCTAATGTTAACGATGGCTCAAACAGGTGAATATTATGGATCAAGATGCTCTTAACTATTAGGTGTTATTTATTCATGGTAAAGAACAATGCATATATGAAATAATTATATGTTTGTACTATTTTGACATCAGATTTGGAAAGTTTCCTTTTCTTTAATTAATGACCTGGTTTCAGATGTGAAGTGTTATATTCAATAAATGGGATTTGCTTTATGATGAGTGAAACTGAAGAAACCTAGACCTGACAACATTTTTACTATCTTTAAGTAAATTAAATCAAAGTATGCTCTCACGTCCTTTGCTTCTAACTTGCATGGCAGGGTCTGGTGCTTACAAAGTGAGAAATAGGTTTTGGATTGTTTTCCTTTAAAATGACCATCAACATTGTAATTAATGTATAGACTCATCCCAGTCATTGTGTATTGTCTGCAAACTTTATGGGGGAGATTGTTCATTATGTATAACTCCATCTTTAAAGTTTGTACAGTTTGAATTTTTTGCAAGAAATCTTATTGATCTTTGGAGTTTCAGTGCCTTGTCTATGGACAACAAAACATTTTAAACAAACTTCAATTTACTTCACATCTCTGTACCTATGTTTCCAATTTGTTTCTTTCACCACTTTGTTTTTTTACTTTATTTTTCCTCAGTCAGAGAAGAAAAAATTGAAAGAAAGTAGGAATGATCTGTCGTGGACTTACATTGTAAAGTCCTAGTTCTAAAATAAAAATACTCGTTTCTTCGCCAAAATATGCAAGTTTATCGAGAAAAAAAAAGAATTTTTTTATTTTTTTTTTGTGTTTATTCACTGTTGTGATTACACGTTTAAATGAAAGATGCATTTCATGAGTGTTCTTGAAATTTGTTGATTTCTACTTAGTTTTCATCTAAGTTATGACATGGAAATTCTGATATCGAAATTTGGCCTTTATCTAGGTTATGGGTCCATTTTTCTGCAGCATATGTTTTCACTGGAGTTGTTTGCTATCTTCTTTATTATGTAAGTTTTATTGTACAAGTTAGCTTTGTAAATGCTGTAAGATTTTTGCTCTTCTTTTATAAAAATAGTGATTCAATTTCATGTTTAAAGTTAATGCCATATGCAGGAGTATGGATACATTTCATCAAAAAGAATCGCTTGCTTCTATTCATCCAAGCCTCAGCCTCATCACTTTACCGTATTAGTCCGTGGGATTCCTGTTCCACCTGGAAGGACATGCAATGATACTGTTGAGCGTTTTTTCTTGGAGTATCACCCTTCTACCTATCTTTCACATTCGGTGGTCCGTCGAAGCAGCAAACTTCAAAGTCTTATTGTAAGTGTTTTTCCGGAGCTCCAATTGATTCAGTATTTTACCTTGATAGTTGCTTAGTTTAAGCCTCACTTTGTTTGGGCAGAGTAAGTTGAATGGAAAAATACTGAATAATATTTCTTCTAATATTGTTGTAACTATACATTGGTTCAGTCTATTATATACTTATGTTGCGCTCACGACAAGTATACCGGTTAAACAAGTAATAGAGTGATGAGAAAAGTTATCGTTCCCACGAGGATTAGGGACACCAAACACTATTCTTACTATTCCCCTTAATTTGAACAAATCGAAAGTCATTTGGAAAAGGTAATGATTAAACTGACGGAAAACAATTATCAAAGAAACAATTAATAACCACTCAGTAATAACGAATGCAAGAACAGAATGCAACGAATTAAAGGATGGATAGGGTCAACTTCACCTTTGATTCATCTTGATAATCAAATTCAATTCAATAATATTTTATCCCAATTGATTCGAATAATTCATCATCTAATAATTAATTAGTTAAATCATAATGTCTTAGTTCTTTGACCCTTTAAGCCAATTGGAACGCTAATAATGTCTTAGTAATTCCTTTTGGATTAAGCCTTAAGCGCAATGAATTATAAAAGTTCGCAAATCTTACAAGCCCATGTCTAGATCATGCAAGAATTGGTGTTCTCTCCTGTCAAGGTTAAGAGCCCAATATGTCTGTTGTGAACCCAAACCCTCTTTATTCCTATACGATTGATTAACTCATACAAGAATTTAAACATGCAATTCGAGGTAAACACAAATAATTAGAGACGATTTAATAATGAAAAGAATTAAATCAAACAAGAATTCACGTCCAATTCCACGGCACAACTTCAATCTTCCTTTGTCTTCATCTCTCTCAATTCTCCGGTCTTACCATTCTTCAATTCTGCCTCCTCCCTAATTTCTTCATAAAGCTTGCTTTTATAATTGAAGAGCCAATATCTTTTTAAATCCCGCAAGATCTTAAATCAAATAATCAACCAAATCTTCATTAAAATCATGTTCCTTGATCTGATATCACAGCACTTGAATTGTTGGCGCTAGAAGCATCACCGCCACGCTACTAGCGTGGAGAAACATTACATGCTGATCATTTGGCGCTAACAGCTTGGACTTAGCGCTAGAATCTTGGAATTCCACGCTAATGGCTTGACATCCACACTAGTATCTTGAACTCTACGCTTGCATCTTGGACTTAGCGCTAATAGCTTGAAATCTTCGCCGAAATTGTGGTTTTCACGCACTTTCTCTTGGGGGGTGTTTGGTAGAGGAGAAATTTTTTTTATCGAGAAATTTTAATTACTGGGAATATGGTACGAAAATAAGTTAGATAGAAAAGTTTAAAAAAAGTTATTTGGTTGACCGAAATATTACCAGGAAAATTTATTTAAATTTTCAGAGTCTATTTGGTTGAATGTAAAATATTGATGGAAAAAAGAGTTGAAATGAAGAAAATAACCCTTTATTATAATTTTCGAAAAGAACCATTGCGTATTAAGTGAGTCTGTCAGAACACGTTTTCTACCAACGTCAATATTTTCGAAATCTCTGTCTTTGTCTCTCCTTTCTCCCATCGGCAACCATGAATCTGCACGGTGAGGCTGTGGTGTGAACCATGTTTACAGATTCATGGTTGGACTTTATTTGCAGTTGCAGGGCACCTTTCGTCCAAGTCTTGAATCTTCACGGTGATATGCACATCTTATACCAAGTCCTTTCTCTTGCTCTTGCTCTTGCCCTTTCCTTTGACTCCTTTGTTGTCTGAACACAAGCTTCTTCCCTATGTGACAGTTTCAACTTCCTCCCTTTATTTGAAGCATCAACACCCACCAATGATTTGTCCTATGAATCCACCCCATGCTGCTCAGAAGGTTTAAAGGAGCATTTCATTTGCTGCCAAATGTTCACATGTTCATATCAATACACTCCAAACAAGATTAAAAATAATCCATTCACAATGATTTACCAAAAGAAAGCACATACAAGCAGTAGAGTAGCTAACATAGAAAAACAATACACTCCATAAGACCAATAAAGACAATCTACCAAAAGACCCACAACTGCCATAAGTTTCAAAGTTGCACAGACCGAAGTGGGTATTATGGTCAGATTTTTCGTACTCTTTCATCCATTTAGCTGGTTAACTCACAATACCACATCCGAAGTGGTTTTATTGAACAGTGATTTTAGTCCCTTTTTACACACAAATGTCAAAGTCTGGGGAAATATGTTTCCTGCCAAAATTTTGTGATATCTTCAATCAAATGTGGACAACAAAGAATACTACTTATCTCTGATGTCTGGGTATCTTAAAAGAAAACCCCTACCAAACACCACCTTAAACTCACACAATTGGTTGTATTGTGGGTCAAAATTCCTGAATAAACACAAGAAATTTATGCAAGTAGCACTGAGAATAACTTATCACTGAAATCACAATTTCTGCTGTCTTTTAATTAATTTTAGATTAATTAAACACTTAATTTGACCCTTAATACATAGTATATTATAAGCACATCAACTTAACTAAATAATTAATTGATTAAAATAATGACTAATCTATGGAAATATTATATTCACAATAATTGCAATGATAAGGTTGAAAGATTCCTTGAAAAGGTAAAATAACCTTTTTGCCAGTATTTTGGAGATCAAATTATCTGTGCCTATTCTTATAATATTTCTGTTCCTGTTGAGCTCAGCGTGGTTGTATGTGAGAGGTTTTATTAGAGATTAAACCCTGTTACCTCAGATAAAAATATGAAGCTCTTAGTTTTATTGATGTTTTGACAGCCTTTCCCTAAGCAGTTTTCTTTTTTATGTGTTTTTTCACTCCTATTGTTTGTTTTTTCCCTGTAAAAAGCTTCTCTTTTTGGAGGGAGGGGAATCATGGTGCATTTGGGTTTGACTCAGACATTATCTATCTTCATGAGTGTTGAACTTCTTAGAAATATATACTTGCTTCTAAATTCAATTCTTTCTTCTAATGTCACCTATGTTATACTTTTGACTATTGAAGTTTATTCTTTGAAGACTGATGCAGATACACTGTACAAAAGGCTTACCCATCTGAAACATAAAAATGATGCTCCTAAAAGGTATAGGCGTGATGGGTTTTTGGGACTTTTTGGGCAGAAAGTTGATATTTTGGATCACTATGAAAGGAGATTGGGACATATAGAAGATAATGTGAGAATGGAACAGTCCTCAGTGGCAGCGAAGGTAACTATCATGCCTGGGCATTAATAACCTACAATAGTCGAGTGATAAATTTTTTTGTTTCCTCTAAGACTATTTTGTATCTGGTCTGGTGTACATGCTGTCTAATAACAAACCAAAGTAATTGTATTATCATTTTCATTAAACCATCAATTTAAACCAAATTGTTTGTGCACTGCAGATTTAGCCTAAATTGTGCTGTTAAGATTTGGTTTAGCCATAATGTGGTGGCAGGGAGCACAATATTTATAGAACTGCATCTTTGTATACCAGCTCTATTTCAAATGACATTGGAGAAAGAAAATATGAGAAATAAACTTAATCAATCATTTTGGTTTGCGTATGGAGGAAATTTTTTCCAGAATTGTCAACCATATGCTGTACCGAAAAACATTTTGATATGTTAGATGAAAGAACATAATATGGCCATTTATAAATATTACTTAAAAGCAGACATGAACAACAAATTTTTTCCTCAGAATAGCTAGTGTAATCATGATTGATTTTGTTTAGAATAGCTCTAGTTTTCTCCTTTAATTTATATGTTGACTACTAGATTTGGCTTTCGAAAAGTTGTTTCACGGATATTCTTTCCTACAATAGGTACATATTTTATAGTGAGGTTGTTATGGCGATGATACTAATACATCCACTTGTTCTGTAATCACTTCCAACATAAAGGAAGTTCCAGCTGCTTTTGTCTCATTTAAGACACGATTTGGTGCTGCAATAGCTTTACACATTCAAGAAGGTGTCAATCCCACAGAATGGATTACTGAGCAAGCTCCAGAGCCTGATGATGTTTATTGGCCTATCTTTACTGTTTCATTCATTAGAAGATGGATCAGCAAGCTGGTGGTTTTTGTAGCATTTACTTCTCTCACGGTTCTATTTTTAATCCCAGTTGCAATAGTACAAGGTCTTACCAATCTTGAACAGTTGGAAAACTTTTTCCCATTTTTGAGAAGCATACTAAAACTGTAAGTGGGAAATCTTACCCGAGTCTTATCTTTCTCTATGAAATCATGCATCAGAGTCATATCATAATATAAATACAAGTACGTTTACATGCAGACTTCCCTTCTTTACTTCATTCATTAAGAGGATAGTTCATCCTCCTTCCTTTCCCTCGTGATTTTCCTCTTTTTCTTCTTTCTTACACAAACAGAAATGGGGAAGGAGGGGGTGTCAAAGGATACCTGCTGTTTTCAATTTTTTATGGTTCTCATATGGGAGATTGAAATCTATGCTTAAAATCTCACAAAATTGATTAATTGTATGATTATCGATGATGTTATGTCGACCTTTTTCTTTTATTTTTGAACTGAATGAATTCATCATCAAATGTATCTGCTGCCTAATATTTTCACCAAATTATTCATATTACCATGCATAGCTGCTTACCCTGAGAATTGACTTGTTTATCTTTTCTCCAGTATTAAATCCTACATAGTACTCGGGAATAAAATAGTTAATATATTCATCAGAATATGTGTACTCATATCTACGTCATATGGTTTTATGGAAATACATGATTTTCTTTCCTTTTCTTAAACAGTTGACTTGTTGAGTTTGGGACTGCAGGATGAGAGTGTAGTTTATTGTTTTATCATGGGCATTGATTCTTTCCTTATCATGGATTTCCAACTGAAATAGAGACTCCCAATATTTGTTTGCAGGTCAGTTGTGAGCCAAGTTATTACAGGCTACCTTCCCAGTTTGATTCTTCAGTTGTTTCTATTTTTGGTTCCACCTACAATGCTTATGCTTTCATCCCTGCAAGGATACATGTCATGGAGTCAGATACAAAGAAGTGCATGTACTAAAGTATTATGGTTTACCATATGGAACATTTTCTTTGCAAATGTGCTATCAGGGTCAGTTCTGTATCGAGTGAACGTCTTTCTTGAGCCCAAAGAGATTCCCAGAATACTAGGTGAAGCTGTACCATCACAGGTGAGAATAATTACTAATTGTCATCCCCATGAAACAATTGTATGAAGTTTCACAAAGTTCTCCAATATCTTGTAAAGGGTGATCGAGTTATCAGTGGTTTTGTAATGTGAGCTTCCTAGTCCTTTTGCATAAAAATAAAATAAAAGTTAAAAAAATCGTTAGCTAGAATCCAAAAAGAAGCGAAGATTTTTATTTTTTTTGTCTTAATAAGAGAAGAAATTTATTGAGATTTGAGATTAAGAAAATAAATTACAAAGGGAAAGGAGGATAAGGATTCCTCCGAAACTAAAGAACAATACAGAAAACAACCTAGGAAAAAGAGAATCAATTTAACAAAGCTTCCCAAATCGCTAAACATATCTGTTAGTGAGATCCCATTAAAAAGACCATGTACTTTACACCTAATACGTGCCAAATGCCTAATCTTATCCCAAATGAAGTGATGTGCCAAAGAAACCTTAAAAATATGAGAGCTCTGCTCCAACCAAATCCACGCAAAATTGTAGCATAGATAGCACAGGGCTGAGAGGTGGATGGGTGAGGATCTATAACTATGAGAATATATTTCACTGTGAAAAGTTTTTTTTGTTAAGTTTTATAAAGGTTTTGGTAAAAATAAGGAACCAAAATGTCGTGGCAAAGCACTTTTTGGTGTATTTTGCTAGAGTGGAATGCCTGCATATCCAAGGCCGTCACTTTTTCCCTTCTTATGTATGAGATATGAATGTTCTTATGTCTTCTCTGTGCTGTTCTATTTGCAATTTTGAGCCTCTTTAGCTATCTCTTTTCTTTCAGAATGTTTGTTTTAGATGATGTCTTTCCTCCTCCTAGTATAACGTTTTCTTTTTTCTTTCTAATATCATTCATTTTAATTCTTAAGAACATTGTTCATTTACAGTTCTTTCACTTGCTACTAACCACATCTTTAATGATGCATATAAGATATTATTACACGAATTCGAGGACATGAAGTTCATTTTTTTTATATTTTATATATTTGGTGCAGGCATCATTCTTCATATCATTAGTTGTGACATCCGGATGGACCACTGTAGCATCAGAACTCTTTCAATTGACTAAACTTATTTCCAATTTTATGAAGAGAATTTTTACTAAAAACAGTGGTGATGATTTTGAGCCCCCATCAATGCCTTATCACAGTGAAATTCCCAGGATTTGTCTCTTTGGTCTTCTTGGTGTAACATACTTCATCCTTTCTCCATTAATAGTGCCATTTCTCTTGATCTACTTTTGTTTGGGATACATCATTTTCCGCAACCAGGTTTGCAAATTGCTTTTGTGTTTCTTTTTCAGTACATGTTTTTTTATTCCCTTCTTTGTTGTATAATTTGCATTGATATAATGTATTTCTAAGACAAGTGGCAGGCGGATTACCTGTTTAGGAAATGTGTAAGCTGTGAATACCCACTTAAAGATGAAAAAAGAAGGATATAATGATCTTTAATATACTTGTCATAAATTTTCTTTTGCTGTAGTAACTTACTAACAGATGTTGCTTTTTCAACTATAGGGAGGAGGAGAATGGGAAAAGTTTTATTACATTCAATATTTGTTTTAAAAATTTATCTTATTCATTCATTATTGATTTATGGATTCTATTAAATACTACTCTGCTGGGGGAAAATCATTGTATGTATAGTGCTATGTGTGTATGTGTCTCAACCAGCCAGCCATTTCATCTTCTATTTTCCCTGCCCTTAGCCTCCTCACTCCTGCATAAAAGGAGGAAAAAAAATTCTTAGTTCAAATTAATTTTGATTTTTAGTTCTTTCTGATTTGATATTAGAGGTATAAAAGGGTCAGTTAATGGCCATATAGAGATGAAACTTGGAAGCAGGACTTCATGGTGTCTTGAGTAAATGGTTGATATTATTCATTTCTAATTTTATACCTTAAATTATAATGATAACTTAAATCTCTTTCGGTGACAGCTTTTGAATGTTTATGTGCCAAAGTATGACACTGGAGGACAGTATTGGTCTACAGTGCACAACTCCACTATTTTTTCATTGGTACTGATGCATATAATAGCCATTGGGATTTTTGGTTTGAAGAAGCTTCCTTTAGCATCTGGATTGACTCTACCTCTTCCAATTCTCACAATTTTATTCAATGAGTATTGCGGAAAGCGGTTCCTCTCTATATTCAAGGATTATCCTGCAGAGGTAAGTTCGCGGTTAATAATTGTAAAGAATCATTTTGACTCAAAGTTTAAGCTATTAGGTGAAGGTCACATTTTTGGTTTTATATTTCTCTAATAATAATTAATACTGAGGTACATTCTAATAATACTTTTTGGCATTTCCTTCTGCTTCATTGTGTCATCTATTGCTGCTTATTCTTTTTTTTTTTAATCGAATTATTGCCCTTTTGTTCTATTTTCCCTTTTTGTTTTCTTATGAATAACTTTGTTTACAGTGTTTGATTAAGAAGGACAGAGCAGACCAAAACGAGCATAATATGTCTGAATTTTATGATAAGTTGGCCAATGCATATAAAGATCCAGCTTTAATGCCAATCAAATATTCCGAAAGGTCAGAGAGTCACAGCTCTCCACTTCTTCATAGTTCTCAAGTTTAATTCACATATATAACGTTGGTTGCAAGTTGCAACTGTACAGCAGCATGAAGGACTAACAGCTTAGAGAGTTTGACAGATGAATAAGGGAATGTACCTTCAATTTGACTTCTTTTCAGGTTTATTTGGTTGACCTTGGTGTAGAGTGTATGTTGTTTTCTTGTAAATTGTTTGGATTGAGAATTTGCGCTTATAAGGAGTATGGAAATTGTTTGTTAAAAGCCATAGTGAAAAGAAATGTAATAAATGATTAAAATTGTAATAAGGGGATGGTAGGAGTTCATAAAAAGGCAAAGTTCTTGTTGTTGGTAAGATTTGCTAGCATAAGTTTTTCAAGTTTCAACTTCATCAGCTTTGTAGCATACATGTTGGTAAAGTGGCAATCAAGACAAAACATTTGTTTGTATTGAGAGTGCAACTTAAATCTGATACAATTAGGCATTAGCCATGTACGGAATTTCTATGAATTAGATTCATAAGAACCGACTAACTAGCTTTTCAATACAAAAATAAGTCTTTAGTTCTTTTTATTTTTAGCCCATTCTATTTTCATACAATGCTCTGCCCAAAATCACTTTACATATTGTGCGTTCAGGTGAAGCTCATGGCACAAAGATATACATCAATAGTTTCAGTAACACCAATCACAATAAGCTTGATATCATATTTTAAGTCAAATTCCGAATAATCTCTCTCTCAAGTTGGGATACGTTAAATTCGAGCACCAACCATCATCTCCAAATATTTAGATAAAGGAGAGTCCATGATTGGGAGATATCCATCAATGAGTTAAGTAAACTCAATCACAATAAGTGAATTTAACATTATATCGTAATTTAAAACTTCAAAGCATTGAGTTAATAACTCTTTTACTTATATGGTGTATTTAGTTAATTTTTACCAATATGAAATTTTACCATTTATAGTTTGAATTCCTAACCATGCATACCATCCTAACAAAATGCTGCTTATTTTGATGTGCTTCAAAGGAATATCACAAAATGACAGCCAAATTTCACACTACAATCCCCCAATATCTAATGAGTGTAGAAAGGAGAGTGTTATTTTTATTTTATTTTTGGAAATATTCCAATAGGTTGATTGCTTCGCAACTAATCCGATTCGGGGAGATTCGAACTCATGCTCTCATCCTCACCTGCTTAACTCTCATGTGCCAATTGAGCTATCACTATTTGGTAAAAGGAGAGTGTTATTTGCTTAATATCATTATAAATTTAATTTTTTGCAAAGAAAAAAAATATTTAAAGTAAAATAAAATCTTCCCGTTTAAGAGATTTCAATAGTGTAAACAATTTTCTTTCCGAAATAGACAATTAAAATTGTAGATAACTAAATAGAATTGGTCAAACACTCAACATGAGCTTTGTATTTTAAGGCAAATTTCGTAAGCAACATAATTATAAGGTATGAATACATCATTGTACTAGTGAAAAAGAGACAACTGATTTGAAGAAATAGCATCCACATGGCAGAACAACATTGCACTATGACATCTTCTTTTGTATGCAATCACTATGTCTTCCAGTGCAGGCTGAAGTTGCAGTCAAATTTATATCTGAGATTTTTCTTCTTCTCATTATAAAATTAAATAAACAAATCGTTAATTAGTAATTCATAGCTAAGCAAGATGAAGCATATTCTATTATGCTGGAAATTGATTCTACTTTATGAGAATATAAAAAAGAAGGAGCACACAATGGAGAAATTGTTTGAAATTTCTGAGTTCTAATATTAATTGAAAATTTATACTTACTCTTATTATGTCATACACACTTTTTGGTGATTGAGACTTGGGATCAATATTAAGGATAAGAAAAATAGGATGATTATTAAAAAGAAAATGTGTGTGGTGGTTGTTAATATCAAAAGATGATCATAGAAACTAAATAAATTGCATAAAGGGAAAATTTGTCAGTATACGAAGGACTCTATCTTTTTCTTTGATATTTTGGTCGAAGTAGACCACTCAACAATATGCCTTATCATTTTGCTTTATTAATTTTATTTTATTTTTATGTTTGTTTCTTCCTTTGACTGTCATGTATGTTGCTATTAATATTATTCCAGATTTTTTCTAAGTCAGGACAAATAAAATGGATTCTAATAGATTTTTTTAGAGAATATATATATATATATATATATATATATATATATATATATGAGAAATATAAGATTATGACCAAATGAAACTGAGAAAAAATTGAAGAAATACCTCTGGAAAGAAGAATATAAAAACTTGTATAAGGTGATTTAGAGACTTGGGACAAAAATAAAACTATAAGAGGATTGACTGAGAAAAGTGAATCAATTTTTTTTTATTTTTTTTTTTGTAAATAATCAAACAAGTATTTGATTAAAAAGTGAAGAAAACAAAAGCATTATAGAGCCATTTAAAAAATACTGGTATCCACTCGTATATTTTAATAGACGTTATCAATATTCCATAGCAAACATTAACTCAATTAATCATGTATTGTATTTTGAAAGTCAAATTATTTTAATAATACAAGAATTATTTTAAGTTTAATACTTCACACTATCATATTTTAATTTAATAATCAAATATTTAGTATATGTTTGAATTAATATATTTTTATTTTAGAAAAATTTATAGTAAGATTGTAGTGCTTAAAGCAAGCTGTGTAAATGGAGTGAAAAGAGAATTTTTTTAATTTATTTTGTCATGTGATGTAAGTTTTTTTAATGACATAAATTTCATATAATTTTATTTTACTCCTTTTAATTTTTTTGTTTTTTAATTTGATTGCATATATATATATATATATATATATATATATATATATATATATATATAGTTATGTAATAAAGTAGAAAAGATAAAAAAAAGTTAATTTTGATTTATTATGTCATGTGTGTGTTTTTTATGACATGAAAAACTTATATAATTTTCACGTTTTTAGTTTTATTTTATTTCACAAGTTTATTACTTAAAAACTTTAATTTTAATTAAATTTTGCAAATTTCTCCCTTAAGTTTTAAACAAATTCTCTAAAATTGTAAATACATTTAAGGCATTTATGAATCAGGTACTTGAGCAATGTATGAATTATTTTAATTAATCATGTGATAGATTTAATGGTTGATAACAAAAACTAAATAATATATAGTGTCATTAATTGTTTTCAAAGTAAATCTATTCCAAACAATGATAAATAAGTAACAGTATCATTTCTGCTTCTCAAGACAATTTATTGAAAAAAAATATGTTTGATAATTAATTTTAATAGTTTATATAATTATTAATTTTGTTTCAAATAATGATTAATAAATAACAATACCGTTAATGTACTTCTAAAGAAAATTATACACACACATGCCCCTCATATGGGTGATTAAACATGACCTAATCAAATGATAATAGAAAAAGATTTTAGCACTCGAAGATGAATCAAAGTTAAATAGTAACTGACTGCATGCATTATATGCATAGCATTAATGGTTTGTCTTTCATTTGTCAAGCAGAGACGCTCCGATTAGTTAATCTAATGAATGCATTATAAATAGGGGTATGTTTTTGTCATGTTACATGAGATAATATACCCCTCCTATTCATACATCAAAAGTTGTGTTAGCATTTATTTATTTATTTACTTTTTTTTATAAGAGTGGGTCTCACATGCTTTGTGTCTATTGCATAAGATAACAAATCTCCTACAAGATGATACTTGTATTTCCCTATAAATATTACTTATTCAGCGAAGAGCTCAAAACTTTGCCATATGGTCCATGTTATTACTTTGTTCATCCATCACTTCTGTCAATGTCTTTATAAGTGAAAGTTTTGTGGTTTGTTATCAAAAAAAAAAAAAAAAAAGTTTTGTGGTTAATTAATTGTTTTATGGATTTAATTAAGGGTTCGCTTTTTCTGCAGTTATTGTAGATAAGTTATCTGCAGTAAGACAAATACGACGTCGTTTTGAGACGGAAATCATGATATTTTTTGTAATTTTAATTTATTTCAGGACTATAATAGTCTTTATATTTATAATTTTTTAAGTTTTCAATACCAAAACGACCTCGTTTTGAGAATAAATGCAGATAACTTATCTGTATTAATTGCAGAAACATTTTTTCCTTTAATTATATGCATCAAATTATTAAATTTTTCACTGGTTCATCGGTTATTCGATTAATCCAGTTCAAATTGGACAATATAATCATTCAATTGACAAAACTCTTCTTATTAAATTTTTAACACACAATTACATATCCAGAACTCAGACTTAAGATTACTAATTAAATTAAAACAAGCTCGTCTCAGTTCATGCACATGCGTGGTGGTTCAAATTATTAATTCTGAATAATAGGTTGTATTTGCTGATTAAAATTCAGGTACGTACTAAGGATTAAGAACTTGTATTAGTTAACATCAATAGGATGATCAAAAAGAAATAAATACTAATAAACTTGCGTAAAGGCCGAGTTTGTTTGTTTATGTACATCACTTAGACGACTAAAAACAATTCCAAGTTATGCTTTTAGAAGATCACAAATGGCAGAGTCATCAACCTTAACTAAATTAGGAGATTGGTAAATTGTGATTGGGAGATAGTTTCATTAGATCTTTTCTTGTGCTTTTAGACATTTATTTAACATTAAAAAAGATATAATATAAAAAAAAATTAACTATGTGACATATAAAAAAATGTGTTTTGAAATTCACTAAGACTTATTCCGTTCATAAAAACCCTGTATACTAACTCTCTCTTTTTTATTCACAAGCACAAGTTAATATATACTAATATGTATAGTTTGGTGATTTCAAAGAATCGTATTAATTACCTCAGAACACATATTTTTTTCTCCAAATGATTCATAATTAGAGGGAACTTCGTGTATCATAGTAAAAAGAAATATTTTCCCAAGAGAGAGAGAGAGAGAATTGCATTTTCATTTTTCACTTGCTTCAATTATCAATTACTTAAGTATATTTGGTTAAATCAATGAAAATTGTCACACCTTGAATTTAAGGGTGTTCATCAACCAATTCAAACCGCAGTGACCGAACCGAAAAATCGATAACCGAATAAACCGAAAACCGATTAAAAACCGCAAATTTCAATTGGATTGGATCGGTTTTTGGATAGGTTGATGAAAACCGATCCAATATATTAATTTCCCTCTACCTACTTGGGTATTTCTCTAATCATAGCTTAAAAATTTCTAAACCCAAGACCCATTAACCCAGCAACTAAACCCAAGAAAAAATCTAGTCATATCTCATCAACAAAATTTTATCTTTGTAGAGCTTCATATCTCATTGCCAAAATTAAAAAAATTATATTATAGTTTACTAATGCTTTTGTGTTTCAAATTTTTTTTTACAAAGCCAATATATACAAAAGATATTATTAGCACAATAATCATGAAATAAATTTTAGGATTTTCAAAAAATCGAAAACCGATCCAATCCAAACTGGAAAAAATTGGATTGGATGATCGGATTTGAAAAAAAATAAAAACCGAATGGATGATTATATGATCAAACCGAAGGGATTGGATTTGATGATTTTTGCTTCCAAAATCGATCCAATCCAGACCGCAAACACCCCTACTTGAATTTAAGACTTTAAACTCCTCTCAAAGTGGATTAAGCTTTTTAAATACTCCCAAATATACCATTTAGCTAAAAGCTCATCCATTGTAACTTTTACTCAAATCACAGCTTTGAAATTCTAAAAATTTAACAAAATATTCACTTAATAAATGAGATTTTTATGTGACAAATTCCTTGTTAGACGAATTCTTCCAATTATGCCGGATGCTAATTTTTTTTAAGATACTAAGAAAACTCTAGAATTTGTTCCTAAGAAAATTTCTCAATTATAGGCTGCTTTTGAGTTTAGATGATGACTTAAGAACGTATTAAGAATTAAAAAACAAAACGGAGGCAATGGTATTAATTAACATCAATGTGATGATACTAATACATACTAATAAACAATGTTAAGGTCAAGTTTGTCTTATCTTCTCGCATAATTGTAACATTTTTTTAGTTGGTTTGCTTCTATTTTCAAGTAACAGTGCAGTACGATTCGTTTTCTCACGAGTCACCATCATTCATTCATTCATTTATTACTATTATTAAGGGTATAATAAGACTATAAGCATTCTTCTTCAGCGTTTCTTGTTTGTTTTTATTAAGACACCATTTATTCCTAGAAAGTCATAGCAAAATGAAATGAATCCAAATGGAGTAAAAACAAAAAAACAAAAATTATTTGTTGTGTTTTTATGAAAATCTGAAAAGTTTTGAAGGGTGAATTGGGCTTAAAACCTGTTGAAGGAAAAAGATATTAAAATGAATAAGTAATTTTTTAATATCCGAAACCCTAACAGGGAAGGGGGACTAATTCGATTTTGGGTTTGACCCTCTTCAGTGTTGTGATTCTCTGAAATCGAACTCAGTACCCTTTGTGCAAGTCAAATCCTAAGATCTAGTTGAATCACCACTAGATCAATAACATTTGGGTTGATTAAGTATTGCTTTTTGTTTACAAAGAAATGCAAAATTAGATGTGTAAAGATTGCAAATACAACGAGGTTTTCGTTTTATTTGATGTATCATATAGCAATTATGAGCATCAATCAACAATATTTTACAAGAAGAAAATAACTATTAAGTTGGTCCAGAAATGTCACCATCTCTGGACGAAAATCCCATAAAAAGTTAGCACATTAAAATATTAGATATATCACATAACTTTCTGATCAATCAAAGCTTGATGACGACATTACAAAAAGTTTCTGAAAAATATCATATTATTTTAATATACCGAAAGAAAAAATCATATTATTTTACGTTTGTAAGTAGGTTTGGATTGGCATGTGTCATTGGTGGGGCATTGGATGAATCGTATTCCTTGACCTTCATCAGCAATGACGAGCACAAAACATTGGTTAACATTTTTGTGTGTTTATGGTTGATTAAGGAAGATGCTATGGACATTGTTTTAAGGTGAAAGAGACTTCTCCAACTACTATTAACTTGAGTGAAAAATTTTGTTTTCTAATTTGGTAAGTATCTAAGAGTTCAATTACCTTAACCAAAGGCTAATTGCCTATATCTTAATATATCTTCAATCCGTGTATTTTTTGTTTTCTATTTTCTCATTCTTTTCTCTTTACCAAACATATACAAATGAATCTAAGTCCATAAACTACCAACAAATCTAATATAAACAAGGGAAATTCTTATGTTGTAGAAAGTAGTTATCTCATGTTATAGAAATAAAATTACAAGTGGGATTCACAGGTAAGAGGATAGAAAAAAAAGAGTGGTGGGACCCAACCCTTTTTTGTATGTGTAAAAAAATTGTTTATCTCATGTATAATAAGATAAACATAACCCTATAAACAATCTTGTATCTTTTCTCAAGAGTCTATTTCTCTTGCTTGAATCTGTGACCTTTCAGTTACAAAAAATAACCTTAATGCTGTTCCAAGACTCGCACTCATAAACCAACTTAATTCTAATAAGGAAAAATCAACATAAACTACAGCTTCTTAAGCAGTCTAGTTCCTGCTGTAGCCCATAGTTTTTGGCTACTCATGTTGTTTTTCTTGGTGTCTTTCATGACAAATGATTTGAACCCTTCTCTCTCTTATATCTCCCAACTGGCAAGGAAAAGTAGAATATGGTTTTAACATGAAAACTAAAATTTGAACATCATAGATCATAGATCACACAATATTTTCTCTGTACCACATAAACAGGATTGAATGAAGTAGCAATGACCAATTCAGGCTTACACTATAGCATACAATATGATGAAGTTCTCATATAAACTAACACTATGAGAAATCTAGGTACCCTTTGTCCAGGTCAAACAAGCTACACCTATTACAAAGTCTGAGAAACTGCCAAATGTTTGGATATATAAGCCGAAATCATAAACAAACAAAAAATCAGTGTGACCAAGTCAGCTCTTAAACACAACTAGTTCAAAGGGTCACACCCTATCCCTCCCCCCCACATATAAAAGCACAAATCACCTCAAAGAAAACCATAGCAACCAAGCTTCAGTGCTTTCTAAGATTCACCCCTATAAGCCCCTAAACCAAACCAAGATTAAGTACCTTAAAACAATCACCCTATAAGCCATTAAGCTTAACCAACACCAAGAAACAAAAAGAGCTTAAAAGGGGTAAAATGGCAAGGAAAAGAAAGGCTGTTGCTGCTGCTGAAGTAGTGGAAGAGAGAAACCTATCTGAGGAAACCATGGTCTGGGATGAGATGATGAAGCAAGCTGCAGCACTTGGAGGAGCCAGAAGAGTTAAAAAGAGATTTGTTGGAGTTAGGCAAAGACCATCTGGTAGATGGGTTGCTGAGATAAAAGACACCATTCAAAAGATAAGGGTGTGGTTAGGAACTTTTGATACAGCTGAAGAAGCTGCAAGAGCTTATGATGAAGCTGCTTGCTTGCTTCGTGGTGCAAACACTAGAACAAACTTTTGGCCTTGTTCTCAATCTTCTTCAAGTCCTGCTCTTTCCTCAAAGATCACCAATCTCCTACTTCAAAGGCTTAAAGAAAGGAATAACTCTTTCTCTTCTTCCTCCTCCTCCTCCTTTAGTTCTCTTCTTATCAACCACCAACAAATGCAACAAGTAGATGCATATGAAGCAGGATCAACAGAATTCTCAATTGACCAATTCACTGATTTCCTTAATGATCCTGAAGATTACTGCACAGGCAACAATGACTTCATCAATAATAGTGCTGAAATTGATCACATTACAAGTAGTTTTGAATCATGTTTAACTGAAAAGGAGGAGTTCAAGGTGACAGAAATGGATATGGAATGTAAGTCCTTCAATGTGACACAAACTTCAAGTAATGACAGCAATTCAGGAGTGGAAGGAGAAGAAGACAGTGAAGAAGGTACTGATTTGGTTGTCCATGATTTTGGATTTCTAGACACTGTTGCTCCACCAAGTTACTATTCACCTTTTGAGATAGCTCAAGAGATGGAGGAGCCTGTGGAGGCAGAGAACTATCACTATGGTGATGAGCCTTCAATGCTTAGAGCTGTCATGAAGAGAATGAAATATGAGAGAAAGTTCTCAGCTTCTCTTTATGCCTTCAATGGGATACCTGAGTGCTTGAAGTTGAAACTTGAATCAGGAAACATAATGGGAAGAGGAGTAGCTGATCAATTATCCAACCTCCAAATGGCTTGTAACAAAAACAAACTTGAGAAGAATAAGGAGGAGAATGAATACATGGTAGCAATGGATAAGAAAGAGGAAGAAAATCAACAAACTTCAATTGACATGGATTCCTCTTCTTCATCTAGTGTTGATGGAGAATTGTTACTTTGGAATTCACTAGATCTTCCTCCTATTTGCTTTGTTAACTTACTGGAAAATGGTTCATTTACTTAGCAATATCATTCATATATGTAACTTTTATGTATGCTTTTGCTGAGCAATATATTTTGTAGTAATAATGAAGTAATATCTTCTAGGAATTAAAATAATATATATATTTTTTGTATCATTCATTGTTCCTATAGTATCATCAAGTCAGTGATTTATAGAGTTAAATTTAAAACTTGGATCTAACTTGTTTAAAATGTGTGAATCTTGAACTCAGCTTATTTCGTTGGTTTATAATGTAATTATTTTCTTTCTTTAGCAAATCCTTTCTTAACATATTTTTAAAATTAAAAGTATCTTGGTGCTAAAATATGAAGAAAAATAGGGAGAGAATAAAAGACTCTTTTTTTTAAACCAAAAAAAAAAAGAGTCTCTATTAACATTGGTGTCAGGCAAGTGATAGATAAAAATAAATAAAATGATTCTCTATATAAAATTATAATTTGCTAAGTACTAGCAATATATAAATTATTATTTATGCCTTTTCTTATCTAAAATTAGAGTTTTTGTTCATTGAACACACACAAATACACAAGAACTATTCATAAACTTTTTTTTTATAAAGCTTGCGCTTGACTCATTGAAATAAGGGAAAAATATTTATGCAGTTAATGCAAGTAAGTTATCTGCATTTATTTTCAAAATGACGTTGTTTTTGTATTAAAATCTTAAAAAATTATAAATATAAAGACTATTATAACCCTGAAATAAATTAAAATTACAAAAATACTATGATTTCTGCCCCAGAACGACGTCGTATTGGGCTTACTGCAGATAACTTATTTGCAGTAACTGCAGAAAAAACGAACCCTTGAAATAATTACCAACATTTAAGTTTGAGTTATTGTTTATGGGTTCGCTTTTTCTCCAGTTACTGCAGATAAGTTATCTGCAGTAAGTCCAATACGACGTCGTTTTGGGACGGAAATCATGGTGTTTTTGTAATTTTAATTTATTCATGGTGTTTTTATAATTTTAATTTATTTCAGGGTTATTATAGTCTTTATAATTATAATTTTCTAATTTTTTAATCCCAAAATGACTCATTTTGAAAGTAAATACAGATACGCGAAATATTTTTCTGATTGTTTATTTAAACAAATAAATTTAATCAAACATTTAACAAGTCGAATTTGAATACTTCAAGAATAATTCAACTCATTTACCTTCTACTGACACATATCATAACGACTTAATAGACAAAGAAAAGACTAGGGCGTCAAACATCTCTAAGTCATTAATGATTAAAATTGAATTTAAGATATATAATTATATTTTGCTTTCTCGTGCAAGTCTATTGTACAAACCATGATGTCATACATATATACCAGGTCATAAACTAACATATGGTTATCAATTCATGCCTGATGTTGCTTTTTATCCATCAGGCCAAGTTTGAAGGACTAACTTTTCCATCCTTATAATCGTCAATCGTGTGTGGGAGGGTCATGAGTGCGTATTTTTTTGGGTTTCTATTAGAAACCAAGGAACTCATACAAAGAGTAATTATCTTACTGAGAAAGAATACTGAATCTCTGATTAATAATCTCTGATATGATACATATATAGACACGAACTAAAACAGCTAAGAGCTTACAGCAAGGGTGTGTTTGGTATAAGGGTATCAAAAAAATTATTGGTAAACTTTTTTTTTGGTAAACCTCAAATATCATGTTTGATAGAAGAACAAAATTCAGTTCCCAGATATCTAAGGTTTACCGGTAATTTAATTTACAAAGAAAAGTCACTAGTGAGATTGCCAAAAATAATATGGTAATTCAGAATTTCAAGTAAGGAGAAAGCACAACAACAATTTTTGAGACAAAAATATTCCAACATACATCAAAACCTAGACCCAATATATCAATTACAAAAATAAAAATAGTTTGGGATTATTTTTGTAAAATAACATCATATTCCAAGTCACATTTGGTTCTAAACCAAACATGAAATCAATAATCTTTACCTAATATTCCCGGTAATATTTTGACGAACCAAACACTTTTTTCGTAACATTCCGAGTAAACTCAATTTCTAATGTATTCACAGTAATCGTGATTTCCGAATACCAAAAAATTTCTCTTATACCAATATACCTAGGAGCTAACTAACATAAAGGCTTAACTAAGTTAGTTACAACAGATTCTAACAAACCAACAAAAAGAGAATAATACACGTGTGTGCTGACTCAACAGAATAACTCAGTAGAATAACTCATTCAAAAATACATGTGTGATTCTAACAAACCTTCTTCAGTAAAGAAGTAAAAACCCACGGGACCTAGTCCAGATCAAAAATCCACTAGGAAAATAATGGTTACAAATAATCAAATACACCAATGTGGTGGTTAACTCAACCTCTCCAACAATGGTGATAATCAAACTACCCTAGTGATGTTTCACTCAAACTCTCTCTAGAGATCTCTCAAATGCAAAGCATAAAGCTTTGCTCAAACTCTCAAATAATTATCTCTCAAATTTTTCTCTCTAATCTCTTAACATAGCCTCCACCCACAACTAATGAATATATAGAGGAAGTGAGATCTAGTGTTAGGGTTTTTAGGAAACCCCTCAATGGGCTTGAGCTTAGCATTGAAGGAGGAAGCCCAACAAATCTCCCCCTCCGACTTCAATGCGTCGGCTTCAGCATCAACCTGGCTCCTTCACAGCAGTCTTCAAATTTCCTTACTGGAACCGGCTTCGTCATCATGTCGAACCAATTTTGGTCAGTGTGCACTTTGACGAGTTCGAGCTCTCCACCTTCCACCACATCCCAGATCCAGTGATACCTCACATCAATATGCTTAGTGCAGGAGTGATAGGTCGAATTTTTCGCAAGATGGAATGCACTTTGATTGTCACAACCCAGCTCGTACTTGTCTTGATCATGGCCGAGTTCTATGAGGAACTTCTTCATCCACAGCATCTCTTTGCTTGCCTCAGTAGCGGCAATGTACTCAGCCTCAGTTGTCGATAGTGCAACACACTTCTGAAGTCTTGATTTCCAAGAGACAACTCCTCCGGCAAATCTCATCAAATATCATGTAGTCGACTTCCTCGAGTCAGCGTCTCCCCCTAAATCAGAATCCGAGTAGCCTTGCAACTCGGCTTTGCCTTCTCCAAATCGGAGACATAAGTCGGTCGTACCTCGGAGGTACTTGAAGATCCACTTCACTGCTTCCCAGTGCTCTTTGCCAAGGTTTGGCAAATACCGGCATACCATTCCAACAGCATACGCCAAGTCGGGTGTAGTGCAAACCATTGCATACATCAAGCTTCCGACAGCGGATTGGTAAGGGACCTTCATCATATCATCTTTGTCTTCATCAGATCTCGGACATTGATTCTGGTTCAGCTTTATGTGTCCGGCAAGGGGGGTGCTCACTGTTTTGGCTTTGTCCATGCTGAATCTCTTCAGAATCTTCTCAATATATTTCTCTTGACTTAGCCATAGTAGCTTCTTCTGTCTATCTCGGATGATCTTGATTCCGAGAATCTGCTTTGCAGGGCCGAGATCCTTCATTGCGAAGGACGAGCTCAACGCCTTCTTCAGGGCGGCTATCCTTGATTTGTCTTTCCCTACAATAAGCATGTCATCAACATATAACAACAAGATCAAAAAATCTCCGGCCTCATACCTCTTCACAAATACGCAGTGGTCGGCTTCTGTCTTCTCAAACTTATGATCAGTCATGAATGATTCAAATTTCTTGTACCACTGCCGAGGTGCTTGCTTCAAGCCATAGAGGCTCTTCTTCAATCGACATACCAAGTCTTCTTGGTCTGGAGCTCGAAACCCCTCAGGTTGCTCCATATATATCTCTTCTTCTAAGTCACCGTGAAGAAATGTCGTCTTCACGTCCATTTGTTCTACCTCGAGGTCCATCGAAGCCGCCATGGCTAACACGGTTCGGACCGAGGTCATTTTCACCATAAGAGAAAAAATCTCCTCAAAATCTACTCCTTTCTTCTGATTGCAGCCTTTCACTACAATCTGGGCTTTGTATCTCGGCTTCTGCCCGTTCTCTTCATTCTTAATCTTGTAGACCCATTTATTTTTCAAAGCTCGTCTTCCTTTAGGCAACTCAGTCAGCTCATAAGTCTGATTCTCGTGCAGAGACTTCATCTCATCTTGCATTTCTTTTTTCCATTCTTCTTTCTCAGAGCTCGTCACAGCCTCATCATAACTCTGAGGCTCATCGTCTTCAGCAACAACGGTGTATTCATCATATGGGTATCTTGTAGAGGGTCTTCTTTCTCGAGTTGGATATCTCGGCTGTTCTTCATCTTGAGAACCCGGTTCATCATTCTCATCCTGGATCTCATCATCAACTTGGACCTCAATGTCTTGGTCATCTTCAGCTTGTTGCTGGTCATCAATTTCTTCATTCTCTTGATTTTCTCCCCCGTTCTTCAGCTCGGACAGGAGGATTGGGTTCTTCGCGTCTGACAATAACTCAGACTTTAGGCTTCGAGATGTCATGAATGGTCTCATCTTTATGAAAGATCACATCTCGGCTTCTCACTATCTTCTTATTAATTGGATCCCAAAGTCGGAACCCGAACTCACATCTCGGCGAACCAAGATAAATTCATTCTTTAGTCTTCGCATCAAGTTTGGCCCTTTCATCTTTAGGGATAAGCACGAAGGCTCGGCATCCAAACACTTTCAATTGATTATAGGTCGCTTTCCGACCTGTCCAGACTTTTTCTGGAATTTCTCCTTCAAGTGGCCGTGATGGTGAGAGGTTGATCAAGTCAACAGCTATTTTGACGGCTTCTCCCCAGAATGATTTCGGCAATCCAACATTGGATAACATGCTTTGGACCTTCTCTTCAATAGTTATGTTCATCCGCTCAGCCAGTCCATTCAGCTGAGGTGTCTTGGGGGGCGTCTTCTCAAGTCGAATCCCGGCCGCTCTGCAATATGCATCAAATGGGCCGCAATACTCACCACCATTATCAGATCAGATCACCTTCAATTTCTTGTCAGTCTCCCTTTCAACCATTGCATGGAATTCTTTAAAGGATTGGAGTACCTGGTCTTTAGACTTCAACAAATATATCTGTACTTTGCGGGAGTGGTCATCAATAAATGAAATAAAGTACTGAGCTCCTCCAAGGGATCTTTCCGACATGGAGAAGACATCAGTATGGACGAGGTCAAGAATATACATGCGTCGTCTGGGTTGATCCGGTCACAAAAGAAACTCGGTGCTTCTTTCCAGCTAGGCAATGCGTTCAACTCTCCAACGCTTGGCCTTTCAACCCGGTCAATAATCCTTTCTTGTTCAGGATCTGGAGCCCTTTCTCGCTCATGCGGCCGAGGCGCTTGTGCCATAGCTCCAAGCTAGGTTCATCTCGAACAGAATTGGCTTCTCTGCCATTGATCCTTCCTTGCATCACGTACAAGGAGCCATCCTTCTTACCTCGGGCCACGACCAAGTTTCCCTTGGCCAGCTTCCATCTAACACTACCGAAGTAGTTCATTAACCCGGCATCATCAAGTTTGCCTACCGAGATTAGGTTCAAACGCATGTCAGGAACATGCCTTACATCTTTCAACACAAGTCGGCATCCGACATCCGTGGTCAGAGTTACATCACCGACACCAACAATCTTGCTGGTCACTTGATTTCCCATCTTCACGACTCCAAAATCACCACCTCGGTAAGAGGAGAAAAAACCTTTGTGTGGAGTAACGTGGAAGGAGGCACCGGAGTCAACAATCCAGGTGCAGTCATCATATGCAACATTCAAATAATTATCCTCACCAAGGAGGAATATCTCGGCATCCGGGTTGGCAGCCACCGCAGTGGTGCTCTTGTCTTCCCTCTTCTTGGGAATAATCTGATCCGGCTTCACATAGTCGTTCTTCTCATCATTCTGCAGGGTCCAGCAGTCTGGCTTCTTATGGCCTGTCTTTCCACAGTAAAAGTACTTCAACTCATATTTCGGCTTTGACCGACCTCTGGACTTTTCTCGTCTGTCACGACCTCTACCCCTTCTTTTGCTTCTACCCTGAGAGTCGAATTTCCCTTTGTTTTCAACAATGTTGGCCTCAGACGTGCTTGAAACACCTCGTTCTCTTCTCCTGACTTCTTCGCTCAGGAGGCTGTCTGTCACGACATCCATCTTCAACTTTCCTTCTGGAGCTGAATTACTCAAATCACCACCAGAGTATCCCAGCTTTCTGGCAGCGAGCTCATCAGCAGAAAAGCCTGCATCTTATCATCAATTTTCATCTCAGCTTTTGACAGCTGATTCACAATACCTTTATAGGTGTTGAGGTGTTCAATCATGCTCATGTCGTCCTTGTATTCAAGCTTCACAAGTCGCCGAACCAGGTATGCTTTATTCCTGGGAGTCTTCTTCTGAATCATGGACTTCAGCTTCGTCCACAACTCATACGCATTCGTGAACTCGGACACGTGCTCAAAGAGGCTTTTATCAATATATTTCTTGATCGAGGCTACCGCCTTCCGACTCAGGATCTCCCACTCCTTATCAGTTTTTCCTGCCGGTCTCTCATCAAGGATAATGGGCTCATGTAAATCTTTGCAGTAGAGATGATCTTCCATCATCGGTCTCCAATAGGTGAAATTATCAGCGGTCAACTTGAACATGTCTCCATCATTGGTTATGCCACTGGTCTCCATCTCGTCTCCCTCATAACTCGTCGAACTCGGGCTCTGATACCACTATTGGGAAATATCGGTTCCCTAAGATCGGCTCAGGGGCCTTTGTGCGGAAGTCAATCAACAACATCCTGATCTCGGATCTCGGCAATACCTCGGCATGAACTTCACCAGGTCGGGCAGCGCAGCGAAAAAATCAAAACGAAAAACACAAAACAAGAGAAAGAGAAGAAGAACACAACCAGATTGAACGTGGGAAAACCTTCTTCAATGAAGAAGTAAAAACCCTCGGGACCTAGTTCAGATCAAAAATCCACTAGGAAAATAATGGTTACAAAGAATCAAATACACCAATGTGGTGATTAACTCAACCTCTCCAACAATGGTGATAATCAAACTACCCTAGAGATGTTTCACTCAAACTCTCTCTAGAGATCTCTCAAATGCAAAGCATAAAGCTTTGCTCAAACTCTCAAATAATTATCTCTCAAATTTTTCTTTCTAATCTCTTAACCTAGCCTCCACCCATAATTAATGAATATATAGAGGAAGTGAGATCTAGGGTTAGGGTTTTTAGGAAACCCCTCGATGGGCTTGGGCTTAGCATTGAAGGAGGAAGCCCAACAATCCTAACATTTATTATTTAATGCACAACCCCATTTAACAAGATTTATCATAAATTCGAAGCAGGTTTTTGTTGTTGTTGCCAATCTAGCTTTTAAAAAAAAAAAAAATTACAATAATAACACTTGATGCAGTTGTAACTGTGCATGCCAGTCCACATAGTAGATTATAAAGAAACAGTACTTATATCAAAATTGGCTTTTCTTTTGGGTTGACGAAAAAAGGGAATTATATCATATCAAAGATTCCAAACTACTATTTTATTTATTAATAATATATATGAAATAGGTTATTTTCTACCTATTATTTTTTCTGTCTATCTTTACATATCACTCTTCAATATTATTAGATCAAAATCTCAATAGGAGAGAGAAATGATGGAGATAATTAAGATTCTAATCATTCAATATTGGAGAATGATAGGCAAAGGTAGAAAAAAAAGTAGAATAACTTATTCCTTTAATATATATATATATATATATATATATATATATATATATATATGGGGAAGGATATTGGAACAACCAATTAATGTTACTACCAATCATCGTTGATTTCCGTCAATCTAATGGTTATAATTTATTAAAAATTATTGGATTGCATTTATTAATTAATTATTAATCTTCAATAAATACAATAAATTATAACTGTTAGATTTACGAAAATTAATAGTGATTAAGTTGATTATAAATGTGATAAACTTTTTTGGTGGTAAATATATCCTGCCATATATATATATATAAAGGTAGAATTCTTTGATACCGATGTCAAATTTGAAATTTGATATGTCAAATTTGAAATTTGATACCTCATCTGAGAGTCGTTAGATGAAAAAAGATCAACGACTCTGAACGAAGGAATTAGTTTCATCAAACTTGAATTCATCATTTGAATGAAAAACAGTTTCGCTGCCCGTAGACGACGATTGATCTAGCTCTTAAGGTGGTGTTTGGTTGAGGGCTTTTTCAAATTACCCCATGCAAATGAAGTTGGCAATTTGTTTTGCACTTGTTTGGTAGACAGAGAAATGGCTGATTCCCCAGGCAACCATGATGCATAGCATTTTCAATTTTGTGAAAGAATGCTAGACTTTGGCGCTGTTAGAAAGCATTATGAGAGGTGGTTTTATATAGATAGCGAGCTAAACCACATGCACCCACCACAAATCAGATCATTATACCCCTCTGATAACTTGTATGAGAGATGCTATGATATTATCTTGCTTCAAATTCGATTGTGCAATTGGAGCTTATGCAAATGGCTGAGAGAATAAAAGGTTGGGCTTTATGCAAATGGATCCTACTTAAAATATATTAATCAAATCATACACATTATAATATCTACTTCTAAAGCCTCCTTTGAGAGCTGTGCTCTCTGCCTCCTCCGAGGCTTGGTCCTGTATTTTTTATTTTTTTATAACAGGAATAAAAAAAAATGGCAAACAAGACACAAGGATGCTACTATTCAGCGGACATTTTATACTCTTGTAATTTACAGTTATTTTAAAAACAGGGACATTTTTGTAATTGTCACTTATTTTCCCATCTATATTTTACCTCAAACTAAACATAGACTTTATAAATCTTACATAATTTGCCTGGTTAAATTTTTTCCAACCAAACAATTTTTTTTATATTTTCCTATCAAACTTATTTTCCAACTATTTCTCTATCAATTACATTTTCTTAGTATTCAAAAAATTTCTCCTCAACCAAATGTCCCCTAAATGGTATGTCAAAATCCTCGTGAAGAAAATAAACCCATTCTGAACACTTGAATTCAAAATTCTATAATAAACAAAGTCTCAATTATTAAACAATCATATATAGTGCATGACAATCACATATAACTTTAACAAATTTAGCAAATATATTTATTTGATATTATCAATATAAATAACTTAAAAAAAAAACAATTTGTTAAATTATTAATAGATGATTTATATAATAAATACTAAATATTAGAAAATTAAACATTACCATCATCCAGGGAATCAAACAGCTTGATTCATCATAAGACTGACAGAAAAATATACTCCCTAACATGGATTCAAAAGGTACATAAACTATGACTGTTAAATAGCATGCATACATAAGGGGAACAAATTTCACGCAATGGAAGCGGGGCATTAAAGGCTGCTCTGAAAGCTCATGTTCGATGCAGCCTAGGCAAACAACCCCTCCTGCTTCCAAGTAACAACTATATGGAGTCAATTACAACACAATGTTCAATACCATAAATGGCAGTGTCCGTCATAAATGGCAGTGTCCGTTAGGGGCTAATTCTTTAACAGATTTCTCAGAGATTTTCACAGGATTGGGAAAATTCAATTCACCAGTGAAAAAGGAAGACCTGGGCAGACACCATGATTAAGGAAGCGAATACGATATATAGGATGGTCTCAAAATCATGATGATCGCCATATATAAACTGGGGGTATACTAAAAAGTACAAACAGATATAATAGACCCGTACCGAAAGGGGACCTATGTACAATGTAAGCTTATTCACGTCAACCTATGACACCTTAAGCCTCCCCCTTGTGAGCCGGCAATCTTTGCATTAGAGAACACGAAGCTGCGCAAGGAAAGCAGCACATAGATCCAAGAAAAGAAACTGTGGGCCCTGGACCCTTTGAAGATCAAGCAGATACTTTTCCTCACGAGTTTTGTAAAGCTGGAAAAGATATTAACACGAGTTTGAGAATATTATGGTAAAAAATTAGAATTATCCAACTAAGTCACAAGAATCAGTCATCAACAAGAGAATCTCAATCTCCGATCGTATGCAATAAAGTCATTGCAATGAAAGAAATTTCAGTGGACATCCAAAGAACCAAAAAATAGCAACAATGACTTAAGCGTGCCTAATTGTCTAGTACTTAAAAAAAGGAAGGTGGGAGGAAAGGAAAGTGTGACCCGTCAGCTGTGGCTTTATGCCAATTATGTTTAGCAAAGGATTCCTGTCTGGTCATGACAGTGACAATGAAAATTCAACTACTAAGCTTGTAACTGAACATTTCATATAAATCTAAGCACAATACAGATTATGGTTATCAGGATAATTACCTGCACTTCAAACTTGACCACATTTGAATCAGACAGAGTTTCATTCTCAATAATGCTGGAATCATTTCCAAAGTAATCATTACTGCGCACACACTTGTTAACCATTGCTTCATGATGACCAGGAATGAGAGCAACCCATCTGCACTTCATGTTATAGTGTCCAATCTTCTTCCAACACACATTTAATTCTTGCAGAGCTTTAAGGACCTCAGTCATTATTTCACGAGGTTGGGCTCGAGACTATCACAAGTTAACCAACAGAATCAACAGTTAAAGATTTCAGCCACAAGTAACTATCAAAACAAGTACATCAAAACTTCAACATTTATGATGGCAACTATTAACAACAACAATTTACAGACCAACAGGTCATGTATACGAACCCAGAGAGAAAAGGAAGTACATAAGCAAGATCTTCAATCAACAAATCTGATACCTCTCTCATAAGAGAGAGGGAACCAGTTAAGACAATCACAGATATCCGACAGTTATTTTGTTATTAGCTAGGAATCATCACTGGTGAGGGTAGCATCAATTAATTATGCCAAGCATCAATTATTTTGAATACAGTACCAATATGAAAATATCTAAGAAGTAAAACACAGCACCTGAAGCCCAAGGGCCCATTTTCTCTCAACAGGGAATTGTTGCCTCATTCCTCCTCCTTGATAATCTATATACCCTGGAATGCGGTGCCCAACAACAGGAGAAGCAACTTTGCTGGAATGGATATGGTTGAAACCAGAATCCTAAGCAATCATATTATTAAAACAAAACTGATGAGCTTTACAAAGTATCCTGTTTTAAAAAGACAAACAAAGAAATATAATATTATCAACAATAGAAAACCTACAATTCCATGGTTAAAAACTCCATCAAGAACCATGTTCAAACTAGAAAGATAATTCAATCACATGGTTTTATCATAGGTCATAACTCTAATAGAGAGTCTAACAAACAATTTTGAGACCGCAGCACATTTCACATGGGTATACAATTTACAAGCAAGTTAAAAAATGTGTCTTATCAACTATTAGATAAGTTAAATGACTAAATTACTTGATTAAAGACGGAAAACTAATGAAATCCGAAGCAATTAAAGGAACAACAAACTCACCATTGTCTCTTGAAACTCAGCTCCAAGATAGCCACTAGAAACACGGAACCGGTTGTCCAATAACAAATAGTATGTTACAGTACCCTGAAATACATAGATGGTAATAAGAAACTATCTGGCAGATGCATAAGGTGAAAATGAAGGGTACAAACATCATTTTGTATCCTGTTGCGAAGAGAGTCAACCAATTGACTCCTGTCAAATCCCATATTAACCACTTCCTGAAGAATCTCCTCATCAATCTACAAAACCATGATATTGGTCATTTTATATTCAAAATGATTATAATATATCAAGTAACGAAAAACATATTATATATATATGCAATGCATGTGTGTGTGTAATGCTCAGCTTCGAAAAACACACACAAAGCCGGTTGAAACTCCTAGTATGCTACACAAAAGCAAAAAGAAACCAGAATCCTGAAGATATGAGGCATGTAAAGCCACTAAATGCTTAAAACCAAGAACTTTGACATAAAAGTAGTGTTTTTAGACAACACCAGATTAAAAGAAGAAAGAGGAAGCATGTGTATTGCAAGTACACTCATTTCAGAGCCAAAGAAGGTTATTAACAGTTGGAAAGTGAAATTGAAAAATCTAACAAAACAACTCTTTGGCTCAGCTTATAATAGGTCAGCACGTGCCTTAGTTCATCTCACCTCCAATATCGCTGGAAGAATGTAACTTTAACTACTTATAACAGCATAGTTCCAAGAAAACACATTGACAAAACATACAGCTTTTTCCACCAAAAACTTATCAGAAATCATGTAGAAGATTAAATATTACAAAAAGAACAATCACAAAAACTAAAATCAACAAAAAAGGAGAAGCAAAAAAACAAGAAAAACCAAACCTTTTTGGCTTGTTGCAGTGTATTCGGTGGTGGCACTGCTAAATAACGCGGAAGACGAACTTGGAACCATGGGTGTTGGCGTATCTCTGGTATGGTCATCCTCTTCATGGGATCCACCACAAGCATCCTTGGTATCAAATCTCTAGCGCTGGGTGATAGATGGCTAGGAAGAGTGTATATCCCACCCTGTAACAAATAATCAGTAGAGAGGTACACTTCAGAAGCAAAATTAAATCTCTTTGCACATAAACATCATTGAAGGGATAAATCTGATTTGAAATATGGGGTTTTCAAAAGAAGCATTAATATGGACCTACAAAGTATTAGGCCTTTCTGGCCTAGTCATAACTCTCACTTCAGCACATGGACAATGCCAAGCTCAAAACCATTTAAGAAAATAATTTGGCATGACAGTGGTAGGTAATCTATTAGTACTTTCAAACCAACAAAATGAAAAGGGAAAAACTAATAATAACTAAATTAATATTAATAATACCTTAATTTTCTTGAAGAGGTTGGGAATGTTTTCATCATCAAAAGGAAGAGTGCCACAGAGAAGAGCGTATAAAATTACACCACAGCTCCAGACATCTACTTCAGGTCCAGCATACAATTTCCCAGAGATAACCTGCAAAAAATTACAGTTTAACCAGGAAATATGAATCACAGGAGGAGGAAAATGTAGACTCTCAAAATTCATAATAATAATAATAATAATAAACTATACAACAACAATCCAGCGATTTACCAACCTCCGGAGCTGCATAATTAGGGCTTCCGCAACTTGTCTTAAGAAAATGACCATCACGCATGATGTTGCTCAAGCCAAAATCAGCAATCTTGACATTACTTTTTGAGTCCAAAAGTAAATTCTCAGGCTTCAGGTCTCTATGAACCACCATATTCCTGTGACAATACTCCACACCAGAGATTATCTGCTTCCAAAACATTAGTTAGCTTAAATAATAAGTGACAAGCATAAGTTTCTCAAGTACACAAAATAGTAGAAATTATACCTGCTGAAAAAAATTGCGGGCTTCATCTTCATGCAACCTACCCTTTTCTACTATGTAATCAAAGAGCTCTCCAGATTTCACATACTCCGTAACAACATATATGTCTGCTGGCGTTTCTACTACCTCATAAAGTCGTATGACGTGATGATGCATGAACAATCTTAAAATTTTTATTTCTCTTCTCACTGCACCAAATTGAAGAAAGAAGATTATATGAATATTTAATCAACCAATATCATGGGCCTGAGATAATTAGTTAGTTAGTTAGGGAGTTATTCTAGAATATTCTCAAATAATAAGATATAAGGAGGGGAGTGTGGGAGTGTGAGGTATGCATGTATTCAGTGAATTTGGAGTAGGGTTCTGGGAAAGGATCTCTTGCGATCTCTTTGGCCTAGGTATTTTGGCTTGAGAGTGAGTGAGGTCTTTTGGTGTTTTATTTGTTATTCCTTTGTATTTCCTGTTATCTCTTTGTACGCTTACTGGTTATTGTCTCTGTGATGAATACTGAGATAATGGAAGTATTTTACTATTCAATTGTTGTTATCTTTGCTGTTGAATATTTTGGGTTCCATCAATTTGGTATCAGAGCATTTCTGATCTAGGGAGTGCTTCTAGTCCAGATCTACAAAAACAAAAAAGAGAGAAAGAGAAACAAAAACAAAACAGAATCACAATCACAAAAGTGGAAGGAAGCATGGATCGAGTGATGGAAGAAAGATTGGGAGGGATGGAAGACGCTATTCGTCAATTGCAAGAAACAATTCGGAGACTCAAAGATGTAATGGATCAGCGCTACGACAGTCGAAATCTGAATGGAGCGCACGACGAAGGAAGAACAGAGGGTGAAGAAGTTGAAGAAAAAGAAATCGAAGATGTAGAAATAATCGAAGTAGAAGAAGAAAAGGAATAAAAAGATACAGACAAAGAAGAATCAGAAGAAAAAAGAAAAGAAAATGAAGCAGAAAAAGAAGAAGATCAAGAGCCAGAAGAAGAGGGAGACAAAGAAGGATCTCACTATTGGCCAAAGGAATCAAAAAATATTTACACTATCTGCAGGTTTGATTTAAAATTAGTAGCAACCAAAACAGAGGAGCGTCAGCACCTCATGGGTCTGGGAGAGACGATGATAGCACAAAGAAAAGATGAGAGGGAGGTTGTGCGCAATTGGACTGGGCTTCTTAATGGGCGAGTGGGTGGCAGGTCTGTGATTAGCGGTGGAAATTATCCACGAATGACATTGTCTAAGGGAGTTGGGAATAGCGGGAACTCAGCAACTGGGCCCAACAATCAGGAAACCGGTAGTGGGCCAACAAACTTAGGCCCAAATAATTTTAACACATCAAATGTGTTTGGGGCAAGAAATGAAATGCGGTCATCAGGAACCCAAGGTCTCAATACAGCCAGGTTCAGTGAAGGGAACGTGAGCATAATTGGACGAAACCTAACCGGAAATGGAGGAGCACGGGGCGAGAGATTCCGGCGATTGTTGCTGGAAAAGATGAATGAGGAGTGGCAAGGGAATTTCTGCTTCCGATATGAAGAGTCTCATTCGCTAGATCATGTGTGTCAGAACTAGCAGCTCTGTTTTGACAAGATAATCAGAGTTGGTTTGCCATCCAAAGATGGAAGATATGAAATTTTGAAAGTGCATGCTAGGCATCGATGTTTTCGAGAAACAGTTGTTGTTGATCTTGCATGTTATTTTCCAATGTGGTCTAGGTGCTTCAAGCAATGGGGTCTTGGTGGTAGTTCTATCACACCACCGTCTTACTTCACCTTGAGGATAAGGTGAGTGTTGGAAGGGGAGTATTGATGGGCCTGAGATAATTAGTGATGGGCATGAGATAATTAGTTAGTTAGGGAGTTATTCTAGAATGTTCTCAAATAATAAGATATGAGAAGGGGAGTGTGGGAGTGTGAGGTATTCATATATTCAGTGAATTTGGAGTAAGGTTCTGGGAAATGATCTCTTGGGGTCTCTTTGGCCTAGGTATTTTGACTTGAGAGTGAGTGAGGTATTTTGGTGTTTTATTTGTTATTCCTTTGTATTTCCTGTTATCTCTTTGTACGCTTACTGGTTATTGTCTCTGTGATGAATACTGAGATAATGGAAGTATTTTACTGTTCAATTGTTGTTATCTTTGCTATTGAATATTTTGGGTTCCATCACAATAGTTACCTATAGCAAACATGCAATAAAACTGGAAAGTTAAAAACAATTAAAATCAAGTGCCACAATTAGATAGAGAAAAGATTATTGGTATGCAAAACAATACAGACCTTTTTCTTCCATTTCCATGTTCTTTATCTTGCGGCGGTTAAGAATCTTTATGGCAACTTTATGACCAGTCAATACATGCTCCGCAATTTTCACCTTGCCAAAGGCCCCAATGCCCAGTGTTTTTCCCAACTTATAATTTGGTAGAAACATGTCCACACCTCCACCACTACCACGGCCAGTTGATCCATCCATTTTAAATCTAGAGGCAAATTTAGAAAGAAAAATATGAAAAATCAGACACATGAAAGAATATAAACATGGATAAAAACAAATGCAAAATAGACTTAAAGCCTTCATTAGATATCAAAAGCCCAACCATCAAAATTACTAAATGTGATGCTAAAGGAGGGGTAAATAGTCAAAATGTTGAACAAATAATTAGTTGCCAGATCTTGGGGAATCAATGCAGCAAGCAGCTTAGGCCTTAAGGTTTCAAACATTGATCATCTGTTTCATTCTTACTATGAATATTATGCTAGATAAGTTAATTTCAAGGAAAACTAATGCAAAACAATCAAATACTTTATTTTTCTTCTTTCTTGACATTGTTAATGACTTTCTTTATAAAGTTGTGTGCTTTTTGGTGCTTCATACTTCAAGACATCAAAACCCCCTAGCAGCTTAGGGCATCCTTTATCTTTGAATACCTTAAAGAAGGTACATAACTTGATGCAAACTGCAAAGAGCACAGAAAAGCCAGCTGAGTTCTACACTTGTTTTCTATGTAAGGTTCCAAGATAGCACATGAGGCCCCATTGACTCCATGGAACACATCTTCTCAATTGCCAGCATTTAATGCACAGCTCAGGAGAGAATATACTTTTCCCTGATATTTAGCATGTGCAAAAAAATTTACATACCAATAGAATGCGATAGATAACCTAACAGAAAGGGGAAAATGATATAGTAAAATACACCTAAAGGAATTTAACATGCCAAGGTGAGGTAACAGAACGGGTCAGCGCCTATTGCCGGTTGAGGCACTGTCCCTTCAGTGGGGACCATGTATATGGCTCCATTGGCAAGCTTTTGTGGTTCAAGGCTTTCAAGCAAGGCACACCTTGTAGGTAGCTGTAAAAACTCCAAAAAGTCCAGCCATCTAACTTTCTAACTTTGATTCTAATATGGTAAAACAGTGAGAACGTTAAAAAATAACAAAACGTTAAAAAATAACAAATTGTTTGGTCTTCTTCAATTAAACATGTGAGTTATTGGCATCTTTCACATCAAGGCGTTGAAATCCCCTAGGGCCTTGAGTCCACCTTTCACCTTTGACTACCGTGCTTCCCCATATACTTTTCCTTTCTGATAGGCATATGGGCAAACCAAAAAGGGCAAATTGGGAGAACAGAGCAAAGAGAAATACAAAATCAACAGCAATTTGAGGCTTCCGACAACTCCAGAAGGACTGTTACATATGAAAAGAAAGGATAACCAAGATACAAGTTCCAGACTTATTCTCACCATGCTCAGCGCAGTACCTATATACCGATTATGTTACAATACCTAGACAATATACCTAGCCAATAAGCCAGCAGGGACACCAGGGCTAACTTCTCATCACACCAGCAAACAACACGAGACTTATTGCAAAGGAAAAACAAAACAGACACAGACACTTATTAAAAGAGAAAGACAAACTAAATGAACTGTCATATCACTTGGTTGACTCTTCTTTCAGTGTCCACGGTTTTCCACATAGAAATCCTTTATCCACGTTGTATTTCTCTTCGCTATGTTCTACCAACTTGCCCTCTCTGGTTTGCACAGGTGCCTATCACTTTTCCCCACATATAACAATATTTTTTCAAATATTCTACACTAACATCAAATCCCACACTCAACGTATGTGAAATATTGCCATCTACCACACCAGAATTTTGATCATTTAGTTATTCTCAATGATATCAAAAAATAATAATAATAATTAGTGTTTAAAACTGGCGCTTAACAATAAAAATTACAAAAAAAATAAAAAATAAATCCGAAAAACACTCCAGAAGTTCAAAGTTGAACAAATTCACATAGAAACAGTTGATCAACCGAAAAGAGAAAAGGCGAAAAAACTTCTTCGTCAAGTATTTATCTGGAGCAACACAGTTACGACGAGATACCATTGATCGTAATCTTCACAAACATGAATGCAATCCAGATCCACAAAAACACAGACAGAAACAGAATCTTCCGATCAAACCGCCCGATTTTCATTGCGAAAACCGGCGAGCAAAATCAGGTAACACAGAAATGCATCCAAGGCAGAATCAAACGAAACCAAAGAAAAAAAAGAAAAAAAAAAGGATTGAAAAAGGAGAAGCTTAAAGGCTCACCGGCGATTGGAGCGTAGATGAGAGAGTGAGAAGGAGGTGATTAAAGAACCCTAAAAGATGATGGATGGGAACGGAGAAACCATGATGTTGAGGTTCTCCTTGTTGTTCCCTTGCTGCTGCTGCTGCTACTGTGCTATCATGTCATGTCATGGATGCATTAAGAATACTCTCCGTTTCCAAAATGCATGTTTCCTTGGTTTTGCCACGCAATTCATTTCTTTTGCCAGTTTCTCTGTTTGTTTCTGTTTGTCCAAGAAAAAAGTTGTTTTTTAATTTAAAAAAAGTTGAAGTAATTTTTTGTCCAATGTATGACATTTATTTTAAACTTTACATCATGTTTACCCCTTCTTCTTCTTCTTCTTTTTCTCTTTCTTTTTTTTCCTATTCTATCTATATATTTTCAATATTTTTATATCAGAATCTCAAGACGAGAGAAAATAGATAAAATATCATATTTCGCATAAAATTTAATTAATTCATATTTATAGTACCTTTTTTCATGTCAAACTATACCTACTTATATTTTTCATGTCATAATTTCAAGGGAAAAGATAAAAAATGAAAGTTAGTTGAGATTCTTATTTAACGATATTGGAGATAATTAAATAAGATAGACATAAAAAAATATCTTATCTCATGTTTTTTATAGTGCCTTAAAGTTACATTATGTTTATCTTTTATAATTTGTTTGCTTTTTGTCCATACAATGGATACAAGGCTAGTTGCTAGTTTCGTTGGTTCGATAATTCTTTATGAATTAACATATTTTGATCCATCTATCATCTTCTTAACCTAATGTAGGTACGTTTGTTATATCTTTTATGATTCGTTTAGAAAAAACCTAACTCGTTGAGTAGTTGAAATATTACATCAGGACATACCAAATCTAAGTATTTAGTGTTTCGAAGATGCGGCGTGAGAAAATAATTATTTATTTTATTTTATTTTTTGAAGTTAAATCGACTTTAATTATCTCTTTGAGGTAAGTGAATTTCTTTCAATATTTTCACAAACTTTGACTCTTTGAGCTAGCTATAGGAGTAATTCAGAGTACGAGTCGGGCGGGTCAGAAATAAAAATAATATGTTTTCAGGCTTGTGCTTTATATATATATATATATATATATATATATATATATATATATATATATATATAGAGAGAGAGATAGGCCAGGAAAACACAAGATAAACCAATTGCAATGGAACCTTCATGAGTTGATCACATTATTAGCTGACTAGTGAGGAGAACCATTTGTGTAATGACATATCAAGAGCAAAAAGCATCAATCATATGTGAATATTGAAGATGTATGATGTAGCCACACAAGAAGAGTAATGACATATCAAAGTAACAAGATCATTGGATCAAGAGCAACAAGGAATAATTAGAAGAGCAATACCAAGATCAAAGACAACATCTAAGAGAAGCTCAATATCATAACTATGGTGAAAAATGATCAAAACCAATAAAGTGTCAAGCATTGTCATATCCAACAAGTCAAAGCATCAAGCACAAGTAAAGATTCAAGACACAAGAGATGAAGCTAAGTCTAAAATCATATGTAGAATATATCTTTAGGACTTAGAATATATGTGTCAGTATATGGTAGATTGCATTGCATGAGCTCAAAGTTTTTCTCAAAATAAACGTGTTTTTCGAATTGCATAACATAACCTTTATATACTTGAAAGAAATTTGAAAAACCCATGAAATAGATTTTTGACATGTTTTATAACTTCAAAACATATTTATCAAATAAAGATCATTCTTAAAAGGTGGTTGGAAGCAAGGTAGAACTTATTTGAACTTAAAATTTGCTGAATAATTTTGCTGCTACCTTCCATACAACTTTTCGTATCCAAGATTATGGATTCGGATCTTGTGTTTTGCATAGAAGTTGTAGATCTTTCTTTTATCTTTCCAACAAGACCAAGATCACATAAATCTGATAAGAATAGCTCAAGTTATGCCCAAAATACAAAACAATGTTATTGTTGTCAAATTTTCAGCCTTCCAATAGGTTGGGAATCGATTCCCTGCACATGAGAATCAATTCCCCAACTAGGAAATTGATTACCACCATATGAGAATCGATTCCCTCTTCCTGGAAAGGTTGGGAATCGATTCCCTCTTCCTGGAAAGGTTGGGAATCGATTCCCTAAGTATGCGAATCGATTCCCCCTGCGACAGAAAGCCTATAACGGCTATAAACGGTTAATTTTGCTAAAAATCACTATAAATACATTCCTTATGATCATAAAACATGAAGATCACTATTTTTGCACATCTTGCGGATGATTTGAGAGCTTCTACACTATTCTTTCATATTTTTCAAAGATCAAACATATTTGAGCTCATATCTTGAAAATCCATATACTCATAGTGTTTCAAGTTGTATATTCACACTTTAAGAGTGTATATTCATTTCCAAATATTTTCCTTCTTGTATTCTTTTTTTTTTTTTTTTGTAATATCCTTCTTGTATTCTTGAATTGAAAGGGTTGTGAGACCCATTATTTGAGAGGTAGCCAAATACCTAAGTAAATTTCGAGAGAATTGTAAGGTTGCCAAGTATCCATAAACTTGGAGATTGTAAGGTATCCAAGAACCCAAAGTCTTGAAAGATTGTAAAGGTTTGTCAAGCTCCCGTGAAGCTTGACCATTAGTGAAAAAGTTGATCGAGTGGCTTCAGTCTGGATGTAGGTCACAAGTGGTGGTGACCGAACCAGGATATATTGTTTTTGCAATTCTCTAACTCTAAACTCTTTATTTCTAGCACTTTAATTGCTTCTTTAATATCTTGTATATGCTAGTATAAGTCCTATAATTATGATATATTACATGTTATGGATTGTTTGAATACATTGATTAGTTTTTCATATATCAAAGTGTGCTTGAAATGATTATTTAGAAACTAGAAGGGAACTTTTGCGAAAATCTTGTAATACTCAATTCAACCCCCCCCTCTTGAGTATGGAAGCCACATTCCTAACAAGAGAATATAGGTCTTATCCATTAAAGAGTCAATATCCTACCCAATCTCTCTCATCCTCAAGTAAACCATATTAAAGAATAAAGGGTTAAATCTCACATATACACACTTTTGAAACCCTATCCTCTTTTCTGTCACTGTATACATGCACTATCTTTTTTGGCTTCTTGTTTATTATTTGTACACAATGATCTGCCGCCCTTCAAATTATCTCATTTGTAGATACCTTTAATCCTTAAATCTCATATTAATTACGATCCTCTCCTATTGAACACACCTCATTTTATTATATACAAGTTTTATGATAATTAAATCTCAACTAGATGGAAAAATAAAATTATAATTAAATCTGAATCAAATAATCTATCTTTTAATAAATACTTATAATACAGCCATTTTTTATTTTTTTTGGTTTTTGTAGAAATATTTTTCGCGCATATTGAATTTTTAATCTGTCTTAATAGTGGAGTTGGAAACCCTCGTCTCATGCTTTTTTTTTTCTGTTTGTAATTATAATCTATAAAGCACCGACACTTCAAAAACCCTGACGTGTCGTGTCCGACATTTCGCGACACTCCAACACACATTGTAGAAACTAAAAAAAAGATTCAAAGGTTGCATTGTGTTTTTAGTTCCAACTATTAGATTCGTTGAATTGCGATTATCATTTTATTGAGTTTAATGTAAATATTTGGAATATCTTATGTTTTTTTGTAAAATTGATGGGTATTATAAGTTTAGCTTCATTTTTTTGTTAAATTATTGAATATTAAATATAATATACACTACATAAATTGAAAATATTATTTAATATCAAAATGAGTTCTAACGTGTCGAAATCTAACATTTTTTAAAATTAACGTGTCAGAGTGTCATATCATGTCATGTGTCTCATGTCGATATTGGTGCCTATGTAGCACCGATACCGACACGAGACACGACACGGGACACGACACGATACGACACTCCGACATGTTAATTCTAAAAAATATTAGATTTCGATACGTTAGGACACGTTTTGATATTAAATAATATTTTTAATTTATGTTACATATATTATATTTAATACTCAATAATTTAACAAAAAAATAAAGCTAAACTTATAATACCCATTAATTTTGTAAAGAAACATAAAATATCACAAATATTTATATTAAATTCAATAAAATAGTAATAGTAATCCAACGAATCTAATAGTTAGAACTAAAAACGCAACGCAACGTAACCTTTGAATCTTTTTTGGGTTTCTACAACACGCGTTGGAGTGTCGGGAAGTGTCAGAGTGTCGAGAGGTGTCGGACACGACACATCGAGATTGGTGCTACATAGATTATAATCTCCAAATTTTCACGGTTTGACATTTATAATGTTAAACGGGTAAAAATGCTCATTACCACTTATTCTTTTAGGTCTCAAAAACTAAAAAGCTCATTACATCTAAAAGCCCAGTTTTAG